TTCCGGTGTATAACTGGTTGTTGTGTCGATTGGAGTTGGAGGTGCGTTGGGAAAACCAAGGCCTATAGTTTTTTTTTTCTTTTTTTTTAACTCTGGAGCATTTAGAATGAATCTACAGCAGTTCACTTCAATTTGGCTTCCATGTCTAGCCCATCCGACATGGACTGCCAAATAGGGATTCTGCTATGTGATCGCTGGAGTGGACGTAACAGAAAAGCAGAGCATGATTACATGCCTAGAGAAATGAAAACAAGTGTAGATTTGCCAACAGAGTGATAGGCTTTGCTTCTTACATCCAATCTCTGTCATTGTTCCAGGCACTACAGATTTGCAGCCTACAGGCAGTGTGCCCTGTGGCTGTGGAGCTGCTTGGGAAAGAAGAATAGGCGGCCCCTGCCATCCTGTGTGGTCAAGACAGTTAGGGGCAGGTACCTTGCTGACGTGTATGCGGGCTACAGGGATGCAGAATAAATTGCGTTGACCTAGAGACCACGCAACCCCCTTCCCTTGTCTCTTCACCCTCCCTGCATGTGTGTGAAGTCACTCGTAGCCATGAACGGAATCCTCTAAATTACGTGACCTATTATCTACGATATCACGTGACCATAACTATGATCACATGATCGTAGTCAAACCAAAGCCAGTGCACCTACGTCGCATTCAGTCACACGACGAAGCCGCCTCGGTGGCTCCGAGGCAAGAGTGCCGGCCCACGGATCCCCATGTGGCGGGTTCGAATCCCGGCCGAGGTGCCTGCAATCTGATGGAGGTTTATTGCGGAGAAGGCACCTTGTAATCGAGCTTTCGATTGCACGTCAAAAAATCCCCAGGTGGTCGAAATTAATCCTCGGTCCTCCGCTGGGGCGTGCCAGATGCCCGTCGTTGGTTTGGCACGCAAAACCCCCAAATTTGATTTGAGTCGCACGACCGGATTGCTTCATTTTCCTCCTAGAATCCAAAGGCTGTCATCAAAACTACTAGGGCGTGAGAAGTGCTCATTTGGAACACTAACCTAAGCAGTAAAATTTGGCACCCACTAATACCATTTTAAAGTAAAGATAGAAAAAGCACCGATGTCATGTTCGCGCTAACAGTGTTGCGCAGTGTACTTCTACTTTCTTCTGGATCTGTTCTTTCAAATGGGGAAACTGCATATAACCTGGAAAAATCTGACTGCATGAAGCTACAAGATGCTTCCCTACATCAGCCGTCTGAGCGTGCTGGTGCGATGAGGCGAAGAAAGGCGAATTGCGATTGCTGCAGTTTTCAGAGGGACGTGGTCGATTGTTCCGAGGGTCTGGGTGACGACGTGGCTAACATGACAAACAAATGACGTTCTGCTTGGGCGACTATAGTCCACTTCAGTGCAGCGAACGACGGAGAGGAGGTCGCCTCCTCTCCAGCATTCGCTCTACTAAAGTGGAAAGAGGTGGGAGGAGCTTCCACTTCGTTCTTGACCTGTCACCGACTATAGGCATGCTGTAAATTTTTACTTTTTTATTTAGAATTCATTGCCAACCTACATTTGATTACTGTACTCTCAACATGTGCTCTAGTATAGACTTTTCCAGTCCAAGCCTTCTGCGAAATCCTTTTTTTACTTGGCTGTGGAATGCTTTTTGAGCATGCACAATAGATCCCCTGCATGGAATATTCTATGCCTCCACAGCCCAGTTAACCTGGATTTTTCCTCCCGGTGATAAATATGATCTGCTTATATATTTCAGTGAATACTACGATTGTTAGTTTATATTGTCGTTATAATTGGCAAGTATACCCTCACATCATGCAAATACTTTGAGGAAATGGCGCAATTTCGGTCGGGTTTTTAGTTACGCATAGTGCAGTATTCTAGTTACATCGACCCATGTATTGACCTCACAATGCAGAAATCATCCAGGGGATCACAAAATTAGTACTACCATCGGCATCACTTGTTTTCAATTATGAAATTATTTCCTTTTGGTCATGCAAATTTCTACACCTTCCAGGTTCTGGTACCGAGAAGTCAAGTTGTTGGAAAATTAATGCAGTTTATTTCAATCGTAAGGTTAGCGAATGTGCCTTACTTATTTGCAAGCAGGTCAATAATGACAGAAGACAAATGTTGCAGACGGGGGGGGGGGGGGGGGAAACCTTGGTGTAGACTGGAAAATGCAGCACTGTTTTTAAATCGCCATAAAAAACTTCTGTTAATATTTCCAGGGTTATATGCAACCACCCCACTTATGTTATTGCTGCATTACCAGCCTACCTCCTGGATGAAAACCCCATTTTTTGGAAACACGGGCGGGCTGCCCCGCCTCGGTGCAGTCTCCACAGCATGTCCGCTCATCAGCACATGAAAAGAAAGATAGATAAGGCATTGTGTTACAGTCTTCGGAAAAGTGTCGGTTGGGTTCCGAAAATGCTTCAATTTTCTAAAACTGCTGCGATGGGCTAAGCTTGTGTACTGGGGATGGGATCTCTGGTGCAGAACTACATGCTATTCAAAATAGCACTTGATCCGCCTTCATTGTGGTGTGCCCACAATGAATATGACAATACGGTCACCGATTTCCTCGATCTTGAAAGCTTGCACAAATTATAGCTAGGATCCTGCGTTCTTGAATTTAATTTTTTAGCAAAATTAGAGGGTGTTTTTTTGTTGTTTTTTTCTGAACCATCAATTTGGAACTTTCATTTATGTACGCAAAGTTCGGAGTCTTTCGGCATTTTCGATGAGGCAAATGAAAGGTAGAAAAGAGCAGTTTCTGAATTTAGTAAAGCAGTATTTTCATATGAGAGCCATATTCATCTACTGTCGTAGAGGGCCTACCTCATTTTTATTATAAAGGGCTACACGGCAACGGAAGTTGACACTGCAATAAGAGGAGAATTGCAAAAATTGTTCGAAGATTCCGGGAAATATAAAGACTGGTGGGGCTTATAACAGCTGGCAGACCGAAAAATTGAGTTTTTCAAATGAATCTGAATCAGCAAAATTTTAACGGCTAGTGTTTTTTGGAGTTTATCAGGTTTATCTGAGAAAGCAGAACCCTAATTACAGCTAATGGACTGGGAAGAATTATAGCACTCGCCTGTCCTCATCTCCTAATGCCTCTACTGTTGGCACTGATGTGCCAACAATAGAGGTGCACCATGCTGGGCTTGAAAAATCCGGCTTGAGAGGGCAGGTGCCAATGCTTGCATCTCTCCATTACGCTTGATCGTGGGCCTAAAATCAAGCATTATCAATAGAGGAGATATGCATTTCTGTGAAAAATGATTGCAGACAGATCTAATGTCCTCCTTACTGTCGGTCAGGGTGTCCTAACGGAAAACGATGATCCATTTTGCAGCTCGGCTGTTTTCTCTTGGGTCTGTCTGCTTGCATTCGCCGTACGTCCTGGAAAACAAAGCGGTTGCCTACCATGGTAGTTTTCATTAGGACGAGACTCCTGTGTGCTTACCACTGGCAGCATGAAAGATCCAACCAGGTCTTTGCTGCCTGCTGCTGTCCACCTCGTTGACAGACTTTCCAACCTACAGTGAAAATTCAGACTGTTGCATAATTACATTCCTAGACATTCCAAGTTGGGCTAGATGGGCGTTCACACTGAAGTTAGTGTCGTCCTCACCGCAAGTTGAGCTGTAGCCTTGAATCTCGCTGTTTTGTGACTTTTCTGTGACTCCGACATTGCCACCGGCTAAAGTTACTTGCCCTCTTTTGAGATAGGCATGCCATGACCAGCTTGATTAGGCCCTAAAATGGAACATTCTCATGAGGAGAGATCTGTATTTCTGTGAAAAATGATTGCGGACAGATCTAATGTCCTCCTTACTGTCGGTCAGGGTGTCCTAATGGAAAATGGTGAACCATTTTGCAGCTCGGCTGTTTTCTCTTGGGTCTGTCTGCTTGCATTCGCCGTACGTCCCTCAAAACAGAGCGGTTGCTTACCATGCAAGGCTGTATTAGGACCAGGGTGTAAGATAGACAAGTGGGGAAACGAGAGCCAAATGAGCGACCGGATTGTGTACCCCTCGGTTTTCTCTTTTTCTGTGGCGCCATCGATGTGGAGCACCGCAAACTCTCACTCCAGGTGGCCGACCGGTGGCGACTGGCTAAACTGACGGAGATGGTTTCTCGTGGATTTTCAATAAAGACTGTCGTGCTCTCTGTTTATTTTGCGCACTCTCCCATAAAGTTCCATGCAAATCCGATTCCGATTTTTTTCCTCTCGCCGCAGCGCCATCTGTTGCAAATCGGGGGTACCCGCAAGCAGACGAGTACACAATCCGGTCACGGCGCTGCGGTAGGCTTCTATGGGCCGTTTCCCCACCTGCTTATCTTACACCCTGATTGGGACCAAGGTCCCGTGTGCTTACCTGCGGCAGCATGGAAATCCCGACCAGGGATTTGATGCCGTTACTGGGGACTCTGGCCGAACCTGCACATTCGTGCTGCCACGAGTTCCTCTTTTGGAGGCCTTGTGTAGGCTGCAGTCATCGGTGCCGGGAAGACGACGGTGTTGGCCTTCGATGCAGCAGCCAGGGACCGCCACTGTTTGCTGCTCTCCATTGCCTCCTTGGTGAGCTTTCCAACATACTCTAGAATTCAAACCTTTGTATGATAACATTCCTAGGCTCTCTGGACAAGGCATTCACACTGCAGTTAGTGTTATACTCACTGTAAGTGGGATCCGTAATCTCTGGTCGTGCTGTGTGGTGGCCCTTTCGTGCTTTTGATGTTACGACCGACCAACGTGGCTTGCCCTCTTGTGTGACGGCTTGGCAGCGGTTTGAGTTTCCGTTGAAATGGAGGATTGCAAGTCGAGTCCTGCAAGATGGTTACATTTCAGTGATGGTAAAGTGTGCCACTTACAAAGAGTGGTTATTCTGGCATCAATCCAATTCCATTATCTGATCATTAGGAAGAGACTGTCAGGTTTGTCGCATTGTAACCAATGGACTGGATGAAAGTGTCCAAACGAAGGAAATGTGATTGTAAATTGGTTGACTTACTTTGCAAGCATGCCTTCTGGGCTGAAAGCCTGGGACTTCGGGGCGAAGTCTATCAGGACGCTGTGGAACGCCTCCAAAGCATATGTCTGGCCATGTGGAGACATCTGTGCAAGGTCCTTCAGGAGCAGTTTGTTGCCAGTGATGCTCTTGAATTGGTTGTAGGCCCGCGAGTCTGAGAATGATACATGTTTTAAAAAAACCACCTTCATTTGGAAGAACAAAAACATACTGGGATCCATCCATGGTCGTGTTGGCTCTGGCATGTCACCATGGAGGCACCTTCCATAGGTTCCTTCGTGCCCCGAGTGTTTGTTGATGACATGGTTGTGCATGCTGAGCCAGATGTCGATGAGCAGTTTCTCGTCGCCTCCTGCAGCCCTTGCTGACCAGTACATATGGTTTGTAGCTGTCTGGATCCAGATTTGCAGGTCTTGGCATCCAGCCCGTTTGCTTGCTGCTGTCAGCTTCTTTTTCACACCTAAAATTCAGAGTCGTGTCAGGGAAACCTGCAGCGTGATCGCAGGAAAATAAAAGCTACACGAATGGCCTGTTAGGATATTGCTTACTTTTGGAGATGTGCCATATGTCAAAGAAGTGGTCAATCCCGGGTTCGTGCGTCTTCATGTGCTTTCGTGTGGCAGGGTGACGGTCAGTCACCAACGATCGGATCTTGATACCTGCACCATTAGGTTTCCGAAGATAGCAAAAGAATAAGTGATTATGCCAATTTGAACAGAGTGCCTGAAAGGCCGCCGAGCAGTGATATACACGAACTATGCATGAACATACCTTTCTCCTTGAAGAATTGCAGCTGCTTGAGGAGGCCCTCCTTGTCCATGTTGACACTGGCCATGGCCTGTTCAGACTAAAAAAAGGTGTGAAATGAATATTTTACCAAAATAGTGCATAGCAGTGAAGTAACTGATGACATAACACAAGAGAAAGATTATGAGATTGTTGCAACTGGTTCACGTAAATCTGACTACTTGCCTCTTTTAGCTGGACCTGGACAGAGTGTAGAATCTTGTTGATTTGCTCGACATGGACTGTGTACGTCAGGTACTTGGCACAGAACCCAGGGGAGTCAAATCTCCCGTCAGCGGAGATGTCCACCTCTTTGTTCTGCAACTCGTTGAGAAGTTCCTGTTGCTCTTGCAGCCAGACCTGTTCATGCAGATAAATATTGCTTTAGAAAGGCATGGAGCATACTACAATAGTCCCATCTGTTTATGTATGCATAGTGTAGTGTTGTAGAATGAATGACTGAGTGAAAGAAAAAGGAAAGCACAATGCAGCGAGTTTGAATGTGACTTAGATTGTGCTAGGTTGTGATTTGTGTTTTTATGTTTGTGTATTTCATAAAAGAGGCAGCAGGCCGCCCGTTACCTCGAAGCTGCCCTACCCTTTTCCATTCTAACAACCACCCTCTGTCTCTTGACTCTCACGGGGAACCTGACTCACTCAACCCAATGCCAGACAGGGAACTGCCCCAGGATACTACACATAGCAGAAATAAATTAAACTATCGTGGATTTAGTAGCCCATGGCACATATGTAACATGATGTATAAAATTTTATCTCTTAGCACTATACCATTGAAGTGGCATGCTACAAGAAGATATTTATTCATTTAACCGAAGTGTGACTGGGGCTCCAGTTTTGTACCTCATTCGAAAATTGGGTATATGGGAAAAAAATGCAGCTGCAGTGTCCCGGAATATTGCTCACCTTGTGGATTGCAGGTAGAGCGAAGGCCTTCCGATGCTCGTAGAAGCTCGAGTCGGAGATGACCTGCACGTTCATATGGCGTAGCATCCGCAGCGTAGGGGCAATCTTCACTCCAGAGAAGACCAGGTGGCTGGTCAGCAGTATGTTCCCTGCTGGTCTGCCGTTGACGATGGGCTGGCTTTTCCATGTGCGCACGTGCTCCACAGGGCAGATGCTGTAGACTGTGATCAGTGTGCCGGTAGTTTCGATCGTTGTTTGGCACAGTCTTGAGCACTCTTGGCACGTCTTGAAAAGCTCCCTTAGGCAGCTCTCGAACACCAGAAACTGGCGCTCTTCTTCTGGTGGTGGTGGTGGAGCTGATGCACCATGCTCGATTCTGAAATGGGATCATGTGAAGCATTCTTTACAGATTCTATGTGTTTATATGCACAACTTACCTCTCGTAATCCTCGCTGTGAGACGGAGAGTAGGTTGCGTCAGAGTCTGGCATGTTGCTGGGAACAGGAGATGTGCATTCATATGGCACCCCACTGCTACAAGTGGAGCAGGCAGACTCAGGTGGATGCGACTGTGCAGGCACGTCTGCGACAGGGACAGGTGGCACCACTGCAGGGATGTTTGTCTCTGCAGTACAGTCCCTGAGGTCATTTCTGCCTCGCAGGGTGCAGGCAGTCCAGTTGCCGAGGCCTGAGTCTGCAAAGGGCACTGTTTATTACACATTTCATATTTTTAAGGTTGAAGGGTGCAACTCGAGCACTCCACACAATGCCGTCACCGCGGCAAACATCCATGATGCCTTGTTTTTTAGCTGATGGCAAACATCCATGAATTGTTTTGTAGCCTTTCCATAGCTTAGAATTTCATGCACTCAACCAAAGCTCTCACTGTAATACAAATCCAAGGGATGCCTCACTCTTTATATTTGTTTTTATAACTTACATTACCATCTATATTTTCAGTCTCTAGCTCAGCAACAATAAATGTTCATGTCGCGATATGATGTCACATTACATACATATGTAAAGCTGCAGCTTGACATGTATTTACCAACCACTGAAGGAAATGCAACCAACGAGCACTTATAGCCGCAAGTGGGAAACATACAGCAACTGCCATGAGTTCTCAGTGTCCAGAAGTGCCACCAAGCAACAAAATTATGGCGTGCATTTGCTATGTGCATACAAATTTGCAAACGCGGGTTTGCACGCAATCGTGGGTGCAGGATTGTGAGAAGAAAAGAAAAAAAAGACTGAGTTTGCTCACAAGAGTAGATATAAAAGAAAACCTGCTTGTTAGTAGTCACGGACACTTGGAACTTTGCTAAGCTGATACGAAACGGTTCCTGTCTGTAAACAAGCTGGGAAAACATTTATTGACTTCGGGTGGGTCAATAGCAGAGGGGGGTGGTGATGGTGGTACCATTAGAGGCGATTTATGACTGTGTCCTCTTATCTTATTTGTTCGTGTTTTCTTTTTACAAATGAGTTCGATCCTGGTGGTGCATGCTGATAGGGTTCTTCGTTTTCGGGTAAAACCCGATGATACCTAATTTTTCTCCCCCGAATAGTTCTGATGAAAATCGGGTTAAACCCGATTTCTCCCCGAAAAGCAGTGTTGAAATCACCTGACTTGATAGAAAATATGAACCATTCTGGATCTGTTTAAACGGTGTTTCCTTGGTCATCAGTTGATGGTTACAATTTTCTTCGATTTGCGTGACCTCCGCAAAGATTCACTTCAGAGCCGATCAGAAGGTAGAAACATATCCTATGCCCATATAATATATTTTGTTTACTTTTGTTCATGTAAATAACACATTGCACGTATTTGTAATTGATAAAGAAATCCCGAAAAACGAAAATCCGAATTTCGGAATGGTTTCTGGAAAAACCCGATTCCTTCCCGATTATTGCCCGGAAAAATAGCGCCCGATTTTTACCCCCCGATTCTTGAAAAATATAAAACCCGAAAATGAAGAACCCCATGCACCGCACCATTCGCGCGATAAGCTCTCGAGCCGCTAGTCCGGAACATTAGGCACCACTGATCGACTTGACGAATGCCATGTGGATTCCCATGTTACACAAATGCCTCCTCAGTTCTTAGTTCAGAATATAGATACCAGAAGCAGCCGCACTGCGCAACGCAGAATGCCATGCTCGTGACACTCCCAAAAATATTTGAGCCATCGAAAAACTCACCACGACTTTTTGGCGCTTTGGGGGAGGATCGTCGGTCTCATCGGCGACGGGAAGCAGAAGCGTCGGCACAGCATCCGATCGAAGACGTGAACGACGCAGGTCGTCCTTTCGGAAAGCAGTCGGCTCGAAATGTTCGGCACAAAAACGGGGAATGAGAGGCAGGTTCTCGATGTCGTGTCCTCGCCCGGCGCAGCGTAACCACGCAGTCCTTCGTGGTTCTTTCTCCGGCAAAGAGAAGAATCGCAAGCCCTTGCGAACGTTCTTCCCAGTTTGATGGCGGCACGTCTTGACGAAACAAACGTTCGGCATTTCAGGGAAATCGCTCACTCAAAGGATAAAAGAAACTACTGCAATACGCAGTCGCATTCCAGAGATGACAAGGAAAAGTTTGACTCATTCACGTGGAAGGATCGCAAAGCTGGCTTCGGAGTCGGGATCCACGGGAAGAAGGAACACGTGTGTCGCAAACGCACGCTTGCACACGCCCCGGGAAGCAGACGACCCGACGCGCCGACGCATCACCCCCTAGCAACAAGCTTGCGGGGAGAAAACATAGTTCGCTGGCTTTGGAACGATAATTGCAAACTATGTTTCCCGCACCACAATCAGTTTACGTTTTTCTCAAAGTCTAATTTACAACAAGCTTAAAAAGTATTGCAATAATAACGTTCGCATTCACCGCGAGATGCAGCATTTCCATTGGTCAAGTTTTAGCGAGGGCCAGGGAATGGGCGATTGTCTTTCAAGAGAAAGTAGTAACGATATATTTCTACTGCCATTTACTTAATAAACGGTTTTGTACTCTAAAACTTTGTATACATATTAACTTGCACCTACTACGCAATATAACAACATAAACAGACGATCGCAGAAAGCTCCGGAGGGCACCTTTAAGCACATTTAACTGCAGAGCGTGAACCGCCTTTTCGAAATTGATGTGTCGTGAAACAAGCAAGGTGTCGTCGGCATACTGAAAAATATCACATCCAGAAATAACAGTTTCTAGGTCATTTACATAAACATTAAAAAGTAATGGGGATAGCACTGACCCCTGAGGGACGCCGGTTTCGAGAAACTGGGTTGAGCTATTAACTTTATCTATAGAAACCACCTGGGCCCTACCTTCTAACAGATTTGTCAAGAGCGGGTGAAAAGGTCCACGGAAACCGAACCTCCAAAGCTTCTCTAATAATATCTCATGATTTACCGTGTCAAAGGCCTTGCTGACATCTAGAAAAACGGCACATGAAAACATGTTGCCCTCAAAACCAGAGTAAATTTCGTCAGCTACATCCTCTAAAAGTAACTGCGTACCACTCCCAGAAATAAACCCATATTGCCTAGAAGAAAACAGCGAACACTGATCAATGAAACTGGTCCTTATATGGAAAATGTGTTTCTCAAAAACATGTTCTAGCACGGGCAAAACCGAAATCGGGCGGTAGTTTTCTACCTTTTTAGGATCCCCGCCTTTGAAAATCGGTCGCACTATAGCAGTCTTAAGCTCATTTGGGATCACGCCCCATTCGATAAATCCGTTTAACACGAAAAGAAGTGTATCTTGCAGATATCTGAAGTTTCTTTGAAGACAACCAAGAGCTATGCCATCCACGCCTGGAGACCTAGTAGGCTTAATGCTGAAGAGAATCGAACGTAAATCGTCCAAGCTCATGGGATAGACTTCGTTGTACTGTCCGTTTTTTTATTTTTCCTTCGTCTCAGGGTTATTATGGATAAAGGAAAGCGGAGGTTGCGTTCATCTCTATTACTGCTTCCGAAATACCAACTCTTTCTGGAGCAGAGGTGGATCTAACAAAGTAGGAATTGAATCGTTCAACAATATCTCTCAATTTGTTACCGAAATGTTTTTTTACAACGTCATCCACGGATGGCTTTCGCTGATGACCAGAACAGTATTAACAAGTGACCACGTCTCTGAAGAGCTAAAGCGCGCCTTTTCAAACTTGTTCTTGAAGTGCTTTCTTTTCGCCAATCGAAGCATAGCATTAGCTCTGTTCCTCGCGATCCTAAATTCAGAACGAAGTTTATTATTCTCTGGTGCTCGCCGACTCCGTGCCCAAGCGAGTTCGTTTGCTTTTATGGCGGTAAGTATCTCCGTGTTCAACCATGCGTGATCCGGTCTTCGTTTTTTTATTCTAACTGTTCGTTTACATTTCTCTGTGAAAGAATTAATGATCTGTGTGAACTTTGTGTACAGGTCGGATTGGGATGTGGACTCACGAAACGAGATCCAATCAAATGTCGAAATGAGGCGATCTAGTTTTACATTATCGATAATTTATATTTGCTTTGTTTCGGCTTCAGGCTTTGTTTCCCCAGGGTTTACAAACTGACATCCTACAAAATAATGATCGGCCAGTTTTTCCGTGATAACCGATAACATTGTAACGGTATTCTCAGCTCGAACGCAGATATGATCAATGCAGGACGTGACTAGTTTACCTGATAATATCTCTTCTCTTGTTGGAGCTTTAATAGTGCTTTCAATACCCTCGTTTGCAAGAATGTTCAAATAATCACACACATCAGATCGATCCTGTTTCGCTACATCGATGTTAATATCACCAATCAAGCAAAATAAACCCCTGTTATGCACTTCATTGAGTGTTTTTTTTCAATTCCTCTAGAAAACTTCTAACGCTTTGTGAAGGAGGCCTATAACATGCTAATATAAAAATAATAAAATTGGAACTCTCAATTTTAAGCGCAATCGTTTCTGCATGAGAAAAAGAGATATCGAGCTTAGAAACCAGCCATTTGTCCTTAATGAAAACCGCGATCCCCCCCCCCCCCCCCCCCCCACCTCCCATTTGACCGCGAAAACCAGAAGGAATTATAGCCAGCTAATTTAAACAGATCCCACCAGTCCTCAGACACATTAGTCTCGGTAAGTACAAAAATTTCCGTGTTTGCTGTCACGTCCTTAACAAGAAGGTTGAAGAGCTCCAATATTTCCTTATGCTTCTAATGTTCACGTGTAATACCAAGAAAAGTTGGCTCTTTATATTGAGCCTCTGTTTGAAAACCTTGAAATCTCCACATTCTTGAAAATTTGTCGACATTACTTTAGCTTATATTCTCAAGGTCGTTGATTGTATTTACCCTGACTAGCGCTGAGCCTTGTTCTTTTTTCGCAAAAATTTTCCCTCCCTTTACCCAGACATATTTAAATAGCACTTCCTTGGCTCTTGACCTGGCCATCCAGAATAATTCTCTGTTTGCTCGAGTCAGGTTTTCGTTAAAGTAAACCTTCGGCAGTTTACCTGAA